CCCATTCCCCCTTTCAAATAGCGTATTCTAAGGTATTTCGAGGTCTGTTGAAGGACGGAAATTGATTAATATCACAGGCAGGTACTCCTCCCATTGTCCAGATCCCTTATCACTCATTCCGCCCCACGATCTGTCGAATCTGTCTCTCCCCGGCTCGTCATCAGCGCCAGAGAAATCGTAGAGTATTTCCGGGTACAGGAGAATGTCTGAACAACGTTACGGAAGTCGCATACGGAGAGAAATATTCAACAAAAATTAGGTATCGTTTCCGTAATTCCGAAACGAAATGTAGTTGTAGGAAATTTGACGGAACTGTCACGTAATTTTTACCAAAATCACGGAATTTTTCCAGCGCGTTCCGTTTTTTTTACCGAATCCCCCGTGAAAAATTACGATACCGTCACTTGAATTTTCTGAGTCGATTCCGTAATCGGTGAGCGAACTGTGAGTCCCGTAATTTTTACTGGATATTTTTCTCTGTGGATTTATCGTTTCGCTGGGTTTACGGATTAGTGACGTAGGGCTGTCAGACTGCTGCGTCTTCTGTCATTTTTATTGCTCCGAACTGTGTTGTTCCGCTTGGACACATGTCCGATGCGAGGGATCTACCATCGTCTTTGTGTTTCTTCAGGGGGGAGAGGGGCATCTTCATCCGCAAACGTGTCTTCTTCTTCCTTGAGTCACGTATTCTGGAAGAAACGATAATATTATGGTATTGACGGGCGGAAGTGGATTTTTCTCGGAGCGATTCTCTTACTGGTGCTTGCAATCGAGAAAAATCCCCATTGAGAATAGCACGACGATCGCGATTATTACGCCGAGCACTATGATAACGAGAGTTACTACTGCATCTTCCTCTTCTGGTGTCAGCGGGGATGTCGTTGTCCATTCGTGACCTGAAAATTTAATTTCGGTTCGGTTATTCGCTGGAAATTCGTAAACAGGTGGACAATTGCATTTTTTTAAATAAATGAGTGTTGTTGCTGATAAGTTAGAAATTTGCTTCCGAATGGATTATTTCACTATTCTCTTCTTGTATTTTTTCATGTCATATTACTATCATCAATTGAAACGTCATCAAAATTTTGCGTATTATTTCGTTCTGTCAAATAATTCTACATTCAGATCCTCTCAAGACTCGAATTTGTCTTCAGTCCGGGTTTAATCAAGGTTCAATCAAGGTTTAATCAGTGTATAGCCGAGATTTAATCAGGGTTTATTCAGGATTTAGCCAGAGTTTAACCCAGGTTCTGTCAGAAGTTAGTCGGGACCATGAATCAATATGAATAAGTATTCAATATAATAGACTGATACCTGAGTTTAATAGAGGTAGAGATTTTTATATAAAAAGCTCATGACGGTATTGTGTAACTTGATAAGCAATGATGCTGTTCTCACCATTTTTCAACTTGATTAAGAAGCCATTGAAGTATACTTTTCAAGCCCTAATTTAAAAGCTATTACCGATGATTCTTTCAGTAATCATGAAAAAAACGATTTTCTCTTTCAAATCGCATAAACAATGTGTTGTAACTCAACAACGAATTGTGCGACCCCCATCATATTCTGATAGAATCAAGAGGGTATTGTTATCAATTTTTTGAGCCATGACTTATTCCAAATCGATTTTTGGAAAAGTATCAATTTTTTCGAAGCTGTATGAAAATAGTATATTTCAGCACGTGTGGGGCAATTTCGTCTTTAACGTGTGCGGGGTTTACAGCATGAGTCGAAGGCGAGTGATGTAACCACACACGTTAAGGACGAAATTTCCCCACAAGTACTGAACAAAATTTTATGTCACGAAGCCTGAAACCGGCNATGTGTTGTAACTCAACAACGAATTGTGCGACCCCCATCATATTCTGATAGAATCAAGAGGGTATTGTTATCAATTTTTTGAGCCATGACTTATTCCAAATCGATTTTTGGAAAAGTATCAATTTTTTCGAAGCTGTATGAAAATAGTATATTTCAGCACGTGTGGGGCAATTTCGTCTTTAACGTGTGCGGGGTTTACAGCATGAGTCGAAGGCAAGTGATGTAACCACACACGTTAAGGACGAAATTTCCCCACAAGTACTGAACAAAATTTTATGTCACGAAGCCTGAAACCGGCCGAATTAGACACGAGACGCGAAGCGTCGAGTGTATAATCCAGCCGGTTTCAGGCATGAGTGGCATAAATTGAATTTATTGGTGGCAATGAAGAGAGCTTATTAAATTCTATATTCATGAAACAATTCATGAAATTTGTTTCAATCTTTTTAAGAAAATCGACATTCATTTTCTATTTTTTTTGGTTTGATTTTCTTGATAAAAAAAAAGAAAAATAGAATGATGAAAAAAGAGGATTTGAGCTGAGAAAATTCTATAGAAAATATCTCAATAGAATAAGTTGTATAGAAAAATCAAATTCTATTGTCTTTTCCTATAGAATATTTTCTGTTGAAATCCAATAGAATTGTTTAGCGAATTCGCCAAGTTCTTCTATTACATTTTTTCGTGCGTGAATATTCATCTTCAATTGAAAACTCAAGTGAATTGTGAAAATCCCACTACACTTCCACAAAAAACTTAGGAATTCTCCCGAAATCCCCTTAAAACTTGAAAATTCCTAATCATTTTCCCCTAAATTAAACTCAATGCCTCCCTCAAGGCAATTAAAGCCATATTGCCCATGATTTTTTCGAACACTGAAGTACATGGGTTCGCACCCCCTCACTGCATTCATGCACATTGTCATGCCTGTACCTCTCGCCGGAGGAAGCATTTAATTTATTTACTTCATATCAGGTCAATGTCTTTATCTAATAAGAATGCACGTCATATCTTTGGGCCTCGGTCGTAAATCCCCGGTGACATTGACGTCAATGCGCCTATGCCCCGGATCCTTCAGGGAGAATCCTAGGTGTTTCACGCGGCCAACTGCACGTAGGCAATATCAGGGTGTGTGGAACGGAAATTTCGGCTGGGATATCAATTTCCTGGGATCATCGATGCAGAATGAGGTCCAAGTTTTTTCCAATATTTGTGCAATTTTTTTTTGTTAAAATCTTCAATATTTTTAGTTAAACACGAATTGTAGTTGCGTTACAAATATGAAAAAATTTAATAATCTATAGAAAAAATCAATGGAATTCAATTTTTTCAGACAACTTCTTCCATTGAGATATTTTCTATAGAAATTTTTCGGGTCATGTTTCCAATTGTTTTCGTTTGTTGAAAAAAATCAAAAAGTAAAAAATGTTTGGAAGAAATTGCTTCATTTTTTGCTCATATAAATCCCTATGTTAACCCTATAAGAATGGGAATTTAACAAATTTTCACAACTTCATCAGAATAATAATAATAAATAAAAATAATTAAGATCCATGAAATTGTGAAAACTTATAGTGCTTAAATGGCTCTTATAGGAATTTCTAGAATATCATATACAACGAAACTATGGGATTCTATATAGAATGATCCTATATGAATGTTCTATAGAACATCTTTCTCCGATTTTTTGATACGTATGTATCCTACACGGAAGAGGAAAAAAAATCAACATGTAAAAAATGTTTGGAAGAAATTGTTTCATTTGAACATACAAAATTTCCAAACATGAATAATAAGATAATTCAATGAATCATGGGTCTCATGACTTTGAGAATCCGCATTCTGCGGATAATTTCCCATCCTCTGGTGACGATAGATTGTCTAATAAAAAAATCTGATCCAATGCTGAAAATTTTGGTAATACTTTGTTCATGTTTCCCTCGAGATTTGGAAGACGCAGCATGAACATGTGGATATTTTGGCTCTGCTTTCAACAACGAAACATTTGGCTCAAGAGGCTGATCATTCGCGCGGAGACCGTGCCATTTCAGGATGAGAATGTCTCTCATAAAGTGAAACTGAATGGAAAATATTTCGTTCGAAGTTGCAGGGTTGCTGTCACATCGTCATTGTTATTCTATTAAAAATTCATTTCTTGCATTTGAGTATTGAATAGCCGAAACGAGGATCAAATAGGAATCTCGTTGAGTCATGCGTGTTTAGTGCGAATCGTTTCTCCATCAGGGGAATTGAAGGACTCGTTTACTCAATTCGACATTGCAATCCGTTCAGTGAAAATGCCAGGGGCCGAGTAATTCGACGCTTTTTTCTGCTGATCGCAATATATTTGGACGATCGGCTTTCACCGGAGAAACGCAATTCAATCGTTTTACGTCATGCTAATCAAGCAACTGTTCAATGTTTTCTGTACCAGGCACACGTTGAGTTATCTCCGACATTCCATGAGTCAATAGAACTTATATATTGTTGGTAGGGAAAGGATTCGCCGAAGCTCAAGGACGGGGAAATATTCTTCTTTCCGAGCGTAAGAATATTATCTCAATTGTAAATGCGACTACTCCATTACGCTAATATTTTCTGAGAATTAGTTAGAATTAATTTTCCCATTCTGGACCGTAATTTTTCCTCACAATATTTTCTCATCAAATGGAAGGATTTAAATACAAAACACGTCGAATGGAGGAAATGAATTCAATAAGAAATATTATCGTCCGATTGGAAATTTAAACAAATATCAAATTGTTTTTAAAACAAAATTTTGTCGCGTGATGAATTGTTTCCATTATTATTATTCTTTGAATAATTATTTCCAATGAATATAAGTCTTTAACAAATATTGTTGACATAATTTGTGTCAATTGTATTTGTCAAAATGTTGAAATGTTTTTTATTAGAAATGAATGGGAGAATGTTATTGTTACCTTCCACTGCACTTCTCTCCCTCGTCGAATTTACGCGAAAATTCATCTCCATTTTTACTAAAATCGAGATGATCGTGAATATGAGCCCTTCGAACAGCCCCACCGAATCACAAAAATCACTGAATGGAAGTGGGGAACGAGTAGCGTAGCAACCGGTTCAAAATCCTGGAGGAAACTGAACTGTCGAACACGGGGCTTGGCGCATTCAACTGACGTTTCTTTCGGCAGACAACACGCGCTCAGATGCCGCCGACACACTCTCGTAAGTGCGTACAAACCGAGTGCGAGAGAAAAACAGTGGAAGGCTCTTTCTCGTGACGGGCAATACCGGGCGGCGGGCCATTCACTGCTTATGCAGGTGGATATTTCTCGGTAATGATTGCCGGAGATGGAAAACTTGTTGAATTGAAAAATGCCGCGGGAATATAATTATGTTCGTACATAAAAATTGATTGTTCGTTTAAAATGAAAATTACATTTTTTTGAAGATGTGATTTTTTATATTAAAAATCATTATTTAAATATTAAAAAGTATTATTAATATTACTGAGCCTGATAGACCGTGATTTCCATGCGATTATAAATATACATTCGTGGGGGAATAATTTTACCGATCTGGTGACGTAATCTACGATCCCCTAATTTACCAAATACTATTATCCAATTTTTTGTTCTCTTCATTAACTTCCCGGGCAGGGAAGTTATTTTCATATTTTGATGTGTAAACGTCTCAGCCTTCGTTATCGAAATTTTGTGGTAGAGAAATCCCTGGTAAATCTCATGTAACGAAAAACCCAACGGAAGTTGCGCAGTCCACCACTGCGCATGGCGGGAATACGATGCGCACAGTCATGTGTACATGTACTACGGATGCACTCTCGAGTAAAGGTGCTCTCGCTGTCGCTACAATGCCCCAATGTCAATTGAATTATCTCGAAAACTATTGAGAATTCATCGAGACATCCAGTGCGACAAATGCAGGAAATTTCATAACAAATAAAATGGTTTTCGACTCACATCTCCACGAATCGTAGTTCTCAGGATGTGAACGTTTTAACGTCTCGAGAATTGTGAGAAACATGAATAGAAAACTATTTTATTCGTCATAAAAATCCTTCAATTTTTCCTGGACACGAAATGCCTGACGTTTACAATAATTTTATCGCCGATGGCTTTTTATCTTTGGGAATGTGTTCAATGTGCCCACGATAATTATACATTTACTGTTTCCCAGGCCTGCATATACGCCCTCGAAAAACAATCTCCCTCTGCACTTGAAAAAGAGATAAAGTTTATCTCATTTGTATTGTTAGTTCCGGAGCCACTGAATAGTCAATGAATAGAAGCTCATTTCATACAATTTTTCCGTCACAGATTTTTATTCTGTCAGTGAAAATATACAAAATATCAATATTAAAAATAAATCGAGAATATAATACATTAGAAACATAATAGCCTTAGGGAAACGATTGGTATGACTGCAGTAACAACGTTTAATCAACACGAAACACAGCGATCATTTCGTAGTTCGCAGTGAAGTGATGATTACCTCCTCTTGTATTCCCGGAAGGAGAAGTACGCGTCCGCCCCGTGTAAACACCCCACGACGACACTCAGCATCTGGATCAAAAAATAGAATAAATCAGCCCCTCAAAAAATATTCTAGGGTTCGGAGTATTTGTTTCGGTGACTCACATATGCTGCAGTCATCGCCGGATACACGTCGAACCCTGGGGTGATGTAGTACTGGGGCCACAGGAACATTTTCGTCGAGAATCCGAGGTAAGATGCGGAAGTTAGGTATAGAAAGCATGCTAAAGCATTGAACATCATTTCCTGGAAATAAATTTCAATTATTTAGTAAAAAATTGGAGAATGTAACGAAGAGATTTTTTATAGACTCAACGAATGGAATAGCAATGGGCGAAGTGAGGGATTTTTAAGACGAATAAAATAGTTTTTGACTCATGTCTGTCAAAAACTCAATGTCTCAATAGTTTTCGAGATATTTCAATTGACATTGGAGCATTGTAGTGACAGCGAGAGCTCCTTTACTCGAGAGTGTATCCGTAGTACATGTACACATGACTGCGGGCATCGTATTCCCGCCATGGGCAGTGATCGACTGCGCAACTTCCGTTGGATTTTTCGTTACATAAGATTTACCAGGAATTACTCTACCACAAAATTTCGATAACGAGGGCTGAGATGTTTACACATCAAAATATCAAAATATGAAAATGATGCTGGTGTGTAATTATTGAGAAGGTTTTTATGAGGAATGAAATGGCTTTTTACTCATGCATCTACGACTTATGATTTTCGAGATGTTATCATTTGTTTAATTAAGTAGCTTAAGACCTTTAGTTTCTGAGAGAGCGCGTGCACCGTGGGGCGCTCCTATCCACAAACGTCCACATCCTGAGAACTACGATTCGTAGAGATGTGAGTTGAAAACCATTTTATTTGCTATGAAATTCCCTGCATTTGTCACACTGGATGTATCGATGACTTCTCAATAGTTTTCGAGATATTTCAATTGACAGTGGGGCATTGTAGCGTCAGCGAGAGCACCTTTACTCGAGAGTGCATCCGTAGTACATGTACACATGACTGCGCGCATCGTATTCCCGCCATGCGCAGTGGTCGACTGCGCAACTTCCGTTGGGTTTTTCGTTACATGAAATTTACCAGGGATTACTCTACCACAAAATTTCGATAACGAGGGCTGGGACGTTTACACATCAAAATATGAAAATGAAGGGAACAAAAATTTGGATAATGGTCTGTGGTAAACTAGGAGATAGCAGATTACGTCACCAGGTCGATAAGAGTAATTCCCGACTAATTTGTGTTGACGATGGCGAGGATTATAATCGCATGGGAATCGCGGTTTATCAGGCCTAGTGGCATTGATAATAATGTTTAATATTGACAAGAAAATGTGCCAATCTCACTTGAAATATCTCGATAACCATTGATAACCCATCGAGACACGCATTACGATAAACTAAGAAATTTTCATGACGAATTACAATTACTCTGGAACTACCGGAATAATTTTACATGTTTAAAAAAGAATGTGCAACTCCAAAAATCCGCTCCCCTCAATCACCCTTAATTAAATACTCACAAATAATGAAGCGCGAATAAGTCCATACGATTTCTTAGAAACAATGTAGCACGCTAGTAACACAGATGACGTGAGAAAACATGCTGATGACGTCGTCAATGATCCCTCGAAGGCTGAACCAATCGTCGCGCTGTATCGGAGACCGTAATTTATCAAGAGACTCTGAATGATACCGCTAATTACCTGAGCAGTGAAAAAATACGTGTGAGCACCACTCGACACCGGCATTGACCCCGAAAAAAATACAAAACATTTTTTAATTTACGACAGCTCACCGTCTCGGCTATTTTGACAGCTCCGGGAAGAGTCTTAAAGAATTCAATGTGAATGCAAGTGCAACATCGGCAGAAGCAGCACTCGATTCCACCGGCTCCATAAGCCGTCTCCGGAGCCATTCTGATGATTGGCCTTCCACCGGTCTTCATTATTCCCTTTGTCAGCTAAACTTTTCACAAAACTCCGATCTTCTCGACAACTTTCACTGCCTCCAACTCTCTTAATTCTAATTTAGCTCAATTGCCTCATCAATCAATTTTGTGCGGTCGAATTAGGGATTTTTAAAATTCAAATGTGGCAGTTGCAGTTGCTCGAGGAGAAATGCTGGATAGAAATGAAATTTTTAATGTTTGAAGACTGACTTTTGGATGGAGACTGAAACAAGGGGGTTCTCACGGGCATTCAATGAGCACGCGTGTCGTTGCACCCCCTGCATCGTTGTCGAGACAACATCCGTGGAAAAGGAGTCTATTTTAGGCACGCGCCACGATACATGTGATGAGCGTGCGGCCGCATACCGAGGGTAATCATGATAAAAGTGGATCTCACAAAAAATTTATTGGGTTTTCTTTATATTGAGAATGTTGAATTACCATGAATTTCACTGGAACACTGCGAATTCGCTAGAAGATTGTTGAAATTGCTTTAAATAAATAAACTATTTTCTGATAAAAACCAGTAGAATTTCGTCCTTTTTGTATAACTTTTTCTATAGAAATTCATTCACATAAATTATCCATTTTTTTCAATCTATTTGTCTTCTCTTTTCATTGAAAAAATCTGACAAAAAATTTGTCGTTTCCTCTTTGCCGTGAGAATTTAGAAATACGGAGAATTTCATTGGAAAACTTTGCGAACTGACAAATTTCGAAGCTTATCGTCACATTTTTTCTCATTCAATTTCAATAGAATTCGATTTTACTAAACAACTTATTCAACTCAGATTCAACTCACATTTTCCTATTTTTTTGTTTTCAATTAAACGTAAATGTATGGAGAGTCAACAAGATATACGTATTATTGATATACAATAGTTTATTTAATTATTCCAAACATTCAGTATAAATATTTAGAGATATTCTACACACATCGTAAATTATAAATTGTACAAATTGTAAATTTCATACAAATTCATCAGCTTCAATGATCAGCTGCGAATAATGTCAATTTTTCTCAAGAAAAATAAATCAAAATCATTGGTTAAAAAATCTTGTAAATAAATTGTGCAATCTATGTGTGAACTAGATAAAAAATACAACTAAGTTAGAAATGGCGATTTGGATTAAGCGTACATTGTTTTCAACGATCAGACTTCATGAGCTCATGTAAATATCGACGATCTGTGAGTGTATATTTGCTCCAAAAATAAGTGAAAAATTCGCCGATTACATCGGAGATATCTGCAGATAACGAGAATGCATTGGCTTTACGCAACTTTGATTAATCGTGAGGTGGGCTCGCGACTGTGCGTTATAGTCCTTTGTACGATCGAATCCCGAATATCGTACTGAGGAGATATAATACTGTATTGACAAGGCTCATACTCTGCAAAATGAGAGAAATATTATGAGATTAGAAAATGTAACACAAAGAAATTTCAAGAATTAAAAAAAAAACCTAGCGAATTCTATTGGAAATTTCATTGAATTTTTATTAATCTTCTATTGAAAAGTCTATTAGTTTCCTGGCTGATGCTATTGAATAATTTCCCGCAGTTTTCCTGCAGGTATTTATTAAAAAAAACTATTTTTTAGAAAAAATTAGTAGGATTTCATCTTTCTAAGGAATTTTTCGATTGAGACATTTTCTATAGAAATTTCTCCAAATGAATTCTCAATTTTTTTCATTCGATTTTTCTCTTCTCATTAAATAATTAAAAACAAAAAAACTAAGAAAATTTGAGTCGAGGAATTTCGGTAGGAAATATTTCGGCAGACTAAGTTGTATAGAAAAATTGAATCCTATTGGTTTTTTCTATAGAATATTTTCCATTGAACATTTCTATTGGAAAAAATGTACAGATAATCTGCTGAACGTTTCAATAGAATCGGCCAAAAATTAATATAATGTTCAATAGAAATGCAATAGAATTCTATTGGTTTCTTCGGATTTCTTTGCAGAAAATTTTTAATAGAAACTTTTAGAAATAGAAATAGAAATTTTTAATAGAAACAGTAGAATTTCATCTTTCTATAGAAACTTTCTGTAGGAAGTTTTTTCCATTCTCTCTGTCCACTGTTTTCATTTTAAAAATCCAATGAAAAACCCATAAAATTTGAGCCGAGGAATTTCTATAGAAAATATCTCAATGGAATAAGTTGTGTAGAACAATGGAATCCTATTGATTTTTTTCTGTAGAATATTTTGCATTAAAAATTTCTATTGAAAAAAAACGCGCAGATAAGCAGTAGAAATTTTCAATGAAATCAACCGAAAACTAATAGAAGATTCAATAATAATTCAATAGCATTTTTCATTGAATTCGTTAGGTATTTACGAATATTTATGAAATACGAAAAAAATGGAATGTAATGCATCATCTCCGACCTCGCATGAAATCACAGTACAGATCTTGAGTCGATGCATCACCTCCTAGTAACGGATCTATTTGATCTGATGACACTCACTCCGGCCGCTACGTGAAGATTATAGTTTCTCGTAACCCCTCGCCTCTCGTCATTCACCAGCATCATGAAGTTTATGGATGCTGCGAGCAGCAAACCAAATGCAACAGCATGGTACAATACTTCCTAATAATAAAAAATATCACTAAATAAGAGACCACGAGAGTGAAAAAAACAAAAAGGGATAAAAAAAATCTGGAGAATAGCTTGAAAAATTTGTTCTTTCTCTGAAGACGATGAATAATCTAAAAAATGTTCAAAAATATGAGGCGGATCACACGTGTGGGCGCCCTCCCTCTGCCGCAAGGGCTTCAAACATGGCGGCACATCCACCTCGCATTTTTAAACGGTTCTTAAAGTTATTCAGCCTCTTAAAATCACCCTCAACTCGGTTCATCGGGTTTCTACGTAATGAACAAATTTTTAAGCCATCTTTCAGATTTTTTCATCCCCTTTTGACTGACAATTCATGGCGCAAAGTTCGAGTTCATGGCGCAAAACTCTCGAGGGTTTAAAAAAAATTGAATGAAGGAGGGGTCACCAGGGTCAAACTTGGTGGTGAAAAAATCTACTCACATAAAGAGTTTTGGAGATCATCGCTTCAGAAGATATCGAAAACAAAGAGCTCAAGACCAGAATAAAAGTTCCGATCATGAAAGTTGTGATCATCAGAAAGAAAAACAAACTGCCGGGTGATACAGCAACGCTGTAGTCGAATAAATAGCCCATGATTCCCACGCAGATGATCCCCAGTATCTGAAATAAAAATTTAATTCACCACCGAAACGCCACATTTTTAAAATGCATTTCAGTAGCGAAGCGGTGAAACGGTTCAAGTCGATTTTGACTATTGTCCACTTTTAAAAGGATATCTCGAAATCTAGGGGAGATAGCAAAATTTTTGTCACGACCTTTTTTGTAGCCCTTAATCTGCTCTACAAAAAAGGTTTCCGCGGAAATTTCGTTATCTCGTTTAGATCCTGAGATATTCCTCGAAAACTCGGCTAAGGGCTAAAACGACTTAACCCTCTAACCTGATGGCGTTTATTTGCTTTCTTGACGCTGGAGTGGGGAGGGCCCAAACGCATGCTGCGCAGGGACAGTGGGGAGAAGCTTGGTCAGGTAAGAGGGTTAAACCGTTTCACAGCTTCGCTACTGACTCCATGCAAAGCAAAAATGCAATTAAATTACTAACAAACTCCAGAACTTTAAGAATTCCCCGATAGGTCTTCATGAATCCCGTGTTGATGAGAATGCTGGAGGTGCTCGTGGTGACCGTTGCGGTCCTCACAGTCACTGTGTGCGACATTATGACGTAATTGTTCTTCGCTCCCTGAAAATTGAAATTGAAATAAATTGGAAAGAATTTATTTACTTTCGTTCATCTAATCTCCAATCCTCTTCAGTTCCATTCCGAATGAAGAAAGCGGGACAAGGCCGTGTTTTCGTGGGCCGACCCACATATTAAATGACGCGCACATATACTACTGTATTATAGTATGAAAATAGCGTTGACACCATGCATTAACGCATATCATTAAAAAAAAAACAAATTAGTTGATGGAAATCTCATTTTTATGAGTTTCATCTATATTCCTCTATTAAAATAGTGTGGGCACATATTAATATATAAATATATTATCAATCTTATATATTAATATTTTAAAAACAGTATAATAATTATTATTCCTCTGTAAATGATTATTTCTCTCTGTTAAGAAGAATTTATGCAATTAATTTTTAATTTTCATGTTTTTTGCCACAAAATTTCTCATTCTTTTTTTTCATTATTAATATATCGTGTAATATTTTGAATATATATTGATATATAATGCGTTCACTTTCTTGATTTTACCAATTAAAAAAAAATTGAATAGTTTGAGAAAAATTTCATGTTTATAAGAAAATTTAATTTCTATTTTTAATTTTTGAATTAAAAAAATACTGTGTTAGAAAAACCTTTTCATTATTATTATTATTATCATTATTATTATTATTATTATTATTATTATTATTATTATTCTGGGAATAATTTGTTTTTTCAAACACAATCTATTTTCACGTCTTTTCCTTAAATTTCCATTCTTAAACAAAATGGAAAAAATAACAATTTATTTTAAAAAATTAATGAAACAAAAATAATATATTTACTTCCTTAATGTTTAATATATAATCATTAAAAAATTGAATATAAAAGCGATGTGTGCAACTCACAACAACATATCTATTTATAAATTACGATTTCGTAATATGAGAAAGGGAAAAAAAGCCTGACATACATTCAATGAATGAAATAAAATTGGAAATAGTGTGGAATTGATGGGTGACACTTGTCAGCAGATGTTACCGTATTTAAAGGGACTGGGCGAAATGGGTGCGTTGAAACGTACCTTATCACCTAGATATAGATTGTTGTCCGTCGGCTGACCGCAATCGACTGGAGGTGCGTGTTTACCTTATGACTCGCGTCGCCATTCCGCGGGTGTACGTCATCGGTGATATCACACACCGCGACTTGCGACCAACACATTGAGAGAAGTCTGGGGTACACGCAATACTCCCTCCTCTCCCTGGACTGCTCAAGGTCGGGAAATTTCAGATACGCAGAAGTTGGGGACTGATGTTTTTGGAATCAACAGCCCAAATTGTTTTGGAAAAATTGTTTTCACCATTTTTTTTTGCGAGCATTTAAGATTCTCGCGTTGCATACATTCAGGAGGGTGTTTTCACGAGTGGAAATTTTTTTCCAGAATGGAAATTTCACTTTGCGGCCGGGGGGAAAATCAATAGGACGGGGCGGGATTAGTCTTTTTAAATGTGGAACACGCACGAAACAATTTCTTAGAAAAACCTAGCGAATTCGCGAGACAATTCTTTTGGACTTCTAGTGAATTTTATATTAATTTTTGGCTGATATTATTCAAATGTTCAATTCAAAATATTCTATAAAAAAAATCAATAGAATTCAATTTTTCTATTGAAATATTTTCTATAGAATTTCCTCGGCTCAAGTTTGCTGTTTTATTGCTTGATCTTCTTGATAAACAGAACAGAAAAATGATACGCAGAAGTTGGGGACTGATGTTTTTGGAATGAAAAGCCCAAATTGTTTTGGAAAAATTGTTTTCGCCATTTTTTTTCGGGCATTTAAGATTTTCGCGTTGCATACATTAAGGAGGGTGTTTTCACGAGTGGAAATTTTTTTCAAGAATGAAAATTTCACTTTCGTGCGGCCGGGGGACAATCAATAGGACGGGGCGGGATTAGTCTTTTTAAATGTGAGAACACGCACGAAAAAATTTCTTAGAAAAACCTAGCGAATTCGCGAGACAATTTTTTTGGACTTCTAGTGAATTTTATATTAATTTTTGACCGATTTTATGCAAATGTTCAATTGAAAATATTCTATAGAAAAAATCAATAGAATTCAATTTTTCTATTGAAATATTTTCTATAGAATTTCCTCGACTCAAATTTTCCAAGTTTTTTGTTTCATTTTCTTGATGAACCGAAAAGAAAAATAGAATAAAAAAAAATTGGAAAATTTGCGCTGAGGAAATTCTATAGAAAATATCTCAATAGAATAATTGCGTCGAAAAATCAAATAGTATTGACTTATTCTATCGAATATCTTCCGTTAAAATTTATGTATTCATATTTTTATTCGTAATTAGCCTTGCGCTGTTGGTTAGAGATGAAGTAAAATAAAAATGAAAATGAAAATTGAATTTTTTCATGCGTGAAGATGTTGAATTTTGGGAAAATAAAAACGTTTCATTTGAATCTGTTCTCCAATATCAAGCGAGATATTAACTTTCCACGTCCCGAGAAACAGGGAAATATCAATATTTAAGTATCAAAATAGCGTCACCGCTAAAATTAGACGTTGAATGCGATAAAATTGAAATAATAACGTTTATTTCGCACTTCGGCATGTTCTCAATGCATGTTGGCAATTCTTGGAGATGTCGTGAGCCTGTTATCAGTGTTATCAACATTCAAATATTTCCAAATATTTCCCGATTTCATAGTGACCATCCAGAGAAGACAAAGTGCGCACATTTTCGGAATGCAGTTCCCAAGGGCTTCAAAACTTCTAAATTCTAAGGATTTTCATTTATTTAATATTCACTCAATATTAAAACTTTTTTCTCCATGTGGTGTGCAAAAAATATTCAACATTAAACTTTATTGATCCATGGCCTGATACAAGTAACTGAAATTTCAAAAAATCTCAGATTACAAAACAAAATGAAGAAAATTAAACGAAGAACTGCCGAATCTGTGACATCGCCCAAAGGGAAAAATGTTCTCTCATCAATTTCACATATTTTTTTCATGAAGAGAATCAATAAGGCCATCTGTTTCTCCATTTGGGCGCGATTACTAGCTATTACTCCACCATACACAGTATTTTAGGCGTCTGAGCTTCCTCTTTACAAATAGAAATTCTCCACAATTAGATAAATGCAGTTGTCGATGTTCTTTCGTGTAAATATATTTCTCTTTTAGATTAAATTCAGAAGTACTTCAGGAATGAAGTATTCTCCACTTCGCTGTGACAACTTGACAGTTATTTGATTCTACATTCGATATACATGGGTAGTTATATTAATTATAATTTGTACCAATGTTAAGTAGCATAAGTAGGCATTCAAAATTCGTTATGTTTCCTGCAGTCGGGATTTCAATCGGAAGCGAGGGGAATTTTTAGAAAATTTTAGAAAAGAATGATTGAGAATTTGAGAAAATCTTGAGCAATTTTCATGACAATTTCACGAGATTTTTTAAGACTGAATTTAAAAAATTTAGAATTAAAAAAACTTTTCCATTAAGATAACAATTATTTTAAAAAAATACTTGTATCAATAATAATAAAGTTGAAAACATTTCATGATTTCGTGGATTTTAGGGGTTCTAAAAACGTCAAAAAATACCGTAGAATCCACAGAAATCCATAAGAGTTTCATGTCAATTTGAAAAAAAATCTAACGTTTTTAGAGAATCTAAAAATTGTGATGATAAAATTGAAAAAATAAAACATCTCTAAATATTTTTACGAAATCCAAATCAAATTCCAGGACATTTCCCTGATTTCATGAATAATTATCCTTTCGCTGAGAAGTATTGATTTTTTTCAGTTTTTTAATTTATTTAGGGGATAATCACTCCGAAAATTTTTAAAAACATGAAAAAAATTTATGAAATTCTTAGAAATTCATAGAAATTTCGATAGATCTCAAGCTATTGAGTTCAGATTTGAAGAAAAATATCAAAGTATTTGAAAAAACTCGAGCAATTTTGATGACAATTTTGAATATATCTAGAAATATTATCAGATGTATTGTGGAATTCACAGAAATCAACATAAATTTTCCAAAGTTGTTGCATTGAGATTCCAAGATTTTGGAAAAATATGGGAGATATTAAAAAAATTTACCATTTTGATGATGCAATAATTTTCAACAAATTCTTATACAAATAATCAAACTCAATACATTCAATGATTTCACAGAGTTTAATGATTCCAAAAGCTTCAAAAAAACATCGTAAAATCCATAGAAATCCACAAGAATTCCTTTTTAATTAAAAAAAAATTCTCAAATAATTTAAAAATCATAATTATAAAATTAAAAAAAGTTAAATTAAAAATCATGATTATAAAATTTAAAAAAAAACAAAAACATCTCTAAATATTTTGATGAACTCCAAATAAAATTCCAGAAAATCCCCAGAATTCACAAATAATTCCCCCTCGCTCAGAAGTATTAACATTTATCTCCACTTTCTCAATTTATCCATCAAGACTTCCAGTTCATAATGCAACTCTCGATATGGGCAGGAATTTCACAGTATATATTAGTACGAAATACATAGTGTATAATAGAATTTTATATACATGAGAAAATATACGTATCTACTATGATCAAGTGGTGCAAATTTGCATGATTCTGCGGAAGATGGCGATAAAATTTTCAATGATCTTGTGACATGAATTACCGAAGCATAGAGCAAGAGTTTTTCATTTTATATATTCTTTCACGTTATGAAAATACATGAGGCACATTTGTACTCCATTTCACCGAAGGATTCACGGTTTCTTAACATATTTCAAGACCTGATAATCACTTTTTCATCGGGGAAAATTGGATAGAAGAACCATTTGCGTGAAATTTTGAGGTGAATACAGATTTTTTAAATAATAATGGAAAAAAAACCAGAATTGTCGAATAATTTTACATTAATAGATCTAGTTTAAATGTATATAAATATGTATAAGGAGTTACGAGTCGTGAAAAATAAATTTTTTTTTGGCCAATATGGCCTGCTCGAAGACGGCAGGTTAAATCCTGTGTGATTGGGTGCTGACGCAACTCTCAGGTACTCCCAGCATCCTCACTGCGAACCAGTCTTGAATTCGTAGTAGAGGAAATACGTACCGGCGGCATATGCTAATGTATTAAAAATTCCAAACACCTGGAAATCATAAACATTAAATTGTTATTTTGACATTTAATTGTCTTTAATTGTTCCCTAATGAAGGGATGGAATTGAATCTTTTTTTCAAATGGAGGCATTGTTGAGCCCTATCGATCGCCATTAATTAAAGTTTAATTCATCGATTAGTTTTTTAAATTTTCGAGTTTTTTTCGAAAATCGGTTGTCCCACGATAACTAAAAAAATTTTCTGGATTGAATGATGGCTTCAAAAATTCATTTGGATGTCCTTTTGACCGAGTTCGAAGATGAAGGCGATAGCAATAATCGTTATTTTGATTAATTTGAAATTTTGCAAAAGTTGTATTTTTTGAAAATCAGAATTCCGGGGATATCTTTGAATATCATGCTTCAAATGAATTCAATCATAGCTCAAAATGTTTCTTTTAATGCCATTAAGTCGAAGTTAAAAGATGATTACGATAGCTCTATTGGTTGATTTGATTTTTATGATGATTGTTGAAAATTTCGAATTTTTCATGAATTTCCCTGAAAGTGAGCTTTCTGATTGTTTCTTCAAATGTGGTGTTTCAAATTCATTCAAGTATGTACAAACAAAATTTTTCTATCAACATTTTATCGAAGGGCTGAGGGGAGAGATAGAATCGTAAAAAAGACAATCAGTTGTATAGAAGAAAGGGATAATAAGAATAATGACGATAAAGGAACTCATAAGTATTTTTTTATGATAATTCGCGATAGTACTTACACCAGCTGCAATATTCGCTGATCTAGCGTACCACCAAGTGGATGGGCCCCAGACGGCAAGCTGAACGATGAATGCGATTGTGTACAGAATCACGATGATCCCAGTATTATATAATTCCTGAAAATATTGAATGATTGTATTCTATTTTTTATTACTTCATTTTCTTTACAGACAATATTATACACAGAATAGAATATGACACGAAAAAATGTCATAAAAAAATTTAACGCATCTAGGGAATTCGATCAGTTTGTGACCGATTTTCATAGAAAATGTCCAATAAAAATTTAATTCACGATTGATTGAATAAAGATGTACTACCGTTAGCAGCCAGTTGATGGGTAGTTTCAGAGCTTCACGAATGCCCAGCAGATAAATGAAGCACCAAAGGAGAGTAGCAATGAAAGATGTTATTGCTACAAATAAAAACCAGCTTGCTGCGCCATTCCAAGACGGTGAGGCGCACGCCATGCAAATAATTCCTAGGACCTGGAACCAGAAACAATAAAATTTATACTAATTTCTCAACTTCAACAACAGAATGATTCACAAATCAAGGAAGTATACATCCCGTCTACAGGCGATAAAAGATTTTAAAAATTTTGTGAAAGGAAGTCGACAAAATCCATTTCGAAATTCTAGTTAGTCTTGACTATCTGGACAATAAACATGTCCATCTTGCCTCAAATGTGCCAATTATTGGTTCTTCGGGGAGCCCTTCCTTCGCTGGCTCTCCCTCATCACGACATTCCAATCAAACATCGGAATCGTCGGATTCTCCTTGAGAATTTCTATCGCTTCCCCCCTCACCCGTGCATAGTCATCCTCATCTTTCGAAGCACTCATCACGTCCATGAAGTCATCACAAGTCTTGCCATTTTCTCCCTCGTGGGCGTCGTCACAAGCATCCGGAAATTCTACAGCCAACGCTTGCGTGAAATAACTGTCTCTATGGGCGACTTTTTCCTCAGCCTTAATCATCCTAATCAGCTTCTCTTCCTGTTGTTGAACCACCGGAGATCTCGCTTGATCAAGTTTACAAGGGTCAAAACCCTTCTTCTGCAGCAAAACAGTCTTCATTCGTTCGATATTCTCCAGCCTCAGAATAGTATCCTTGGACTTTGGGATTTTCAGGGCTCGACGTTCGGCCTTGAGTCTGATCATCTCCTCCTGATCCTTCAGGAACTTCTCCCTGGCCTCCTCATGACGTCTTCTCGCCTCCTCAGCTGCTCTGGCTTCCCTCCTCGTCACAGCCACCTCATTATTCCCGAGATAATCGTCCTGCCAGCTGTAAAACTCCCGATTCCTCTCCACCTCCCGATCCACAAACTTCCTCAGCCATTCAATCCTCTCAGATCCACTCGACTTGTCTTCACACACTTGCTTGAATATTCTGAAAGCACCGCTGTAATCGCAAACACCGATGAGTCTCGAATCAAAAGACCCCGTGTGCAGTCCCGTTATCAACTTTCCAGAAATAGTCTGTACGTGGACCGGTTCACGAGTCTTCCGGCATATGTCCCATGTTTCAAGGTCACCGTCTTTTCTAGCCACACAGAAGATTCCGGGCTTGTCGCACCAACAGCAGCTGGTGTACAAGCAATTACGTTTCCTCCAGAGAAGGGGTCTTCTGAGGAAGTCGTCCTTCCAGAGGGCAAAGACACTTCCGCCGATTGTCAGCAGGACATCGGTTACGTGATGAGACCGAACGATTTTAACGAGAGGTCCGTCATGAATTAAAGCAGATCGACCAGCGAAGTCAACATTCTCGTGAGAGATCTCGTCGAACTCCTGTCCCTTCCAACTGCACAGCAGGAGTTCCCCCTGAGTCGAGCTGACCCACAACCTCCTCGAAGATTCGTTGAGATCCGGATCGATCACATCCATCTGAATGCTATCGTAAGCCTCAGCTGCCGCAGGACAAAGATCCAAAACCGTAAGACTAGCCGTCTCCTTAGGCGGAACGATGTGCAGCCGATAGTGCGGACGGAAGATGTTGTCCAATCTCTCCAAGCCTTCGGTCAACGACATCTTAGCAGCCACGATATTCAGGAGATTCTTGGCAGTCGTCACCATGTTCGGCTGCCAGAGAAGATCCCAGAAGGCGACTGTCCCGTCCTCAGAAGCCGTCATGAATTGCATGCTCATGTTATCCGGAATCTTACTCAGCTTTCCGTTGGGCTCTAGCCTGCAGGAAGTCGGCAGCCAGTGAATAGCCCTGATTGGGAGGAGGTGGGAGTCCCCAGGATCTGACGAGGCGCAAGATTCCAATCGACTGCAGCCTTCCGTCAACCCTTCATCGATGATTTCGAAAGTCTTACACAACTCCCACATTACGATTTGTCCGCCGGTTGTTCCGCCAACGAGGACAGAGCCCCTGGAAGGGCAGAAGGATATCACCTTGATATTCTTACAGTCCCCCAGGAACAACTTCGGCTTCAAAGGTTCTGCGATCGACCACAAGACGGCAACTACACTAATTTGGCCGGCCAAACTGCCCAAAAGATCGTTGGGATCACACCTGTCGGCTTTGACGTAAGATATAGCTACGTAATCTGGACGACTCGGGTGCCAAGCGACGTCGGAGATGACCCTGCCCCTGGTGGCCCTGAAATCCACCAGAGAACAGCTCTCATGCAGATCATAATCAATCACTCTTGATGCTTCCGGACTGCCGTCGCATTTGGCAAGGCTCTCGATGTCGTCGGAGTGCATGTTTATTTCCGAGTTATATCTGATGCAGTCTGTGATACCGGGGAGGCTCGCTTCGAAGAAGAGGTTCAATGACTCCGCCTGCTTCTCTAGGGTCTCGTTGACACTCGGTTGAAGTGTCGTCTTCTCGTTGGTCGAAGTGATTGGCTCCGAGTGACCTGTTGGACTACTTTCTTCTGTAGGCTTCTCAGGCTCTGGCTTCTCGCTTTCTCTGGACGGTGATTTGTCGTCGTATTGAGTCCATCTGGTCTTCGGGTAGCCCAGGTAGGTTTGCACGCTTGTCGCGGTCCGCGGAAGGTTCGTCTGGAGGGATTTCGTCACCAGCTTCATCCGGACGTTTGAGAATTTAGAGGTGGGCGGCAGGAGGATGTCCAGGTAGCCGTCTCTGGTGGCTTCGCTAGGTCTGTCCGACAAGTTTGGCGGGTCCTTTGGGGCTGACGACTTACGGCTGATCTCAATCTCGAAGAGAGATCTTGTGCTTTTGAAGAAGGTGTCGTCGTGGTCCAGGCGATCGTCGGGGATGCTTGGACCTCTCAGAGGTGCCTTCCTCATCATCCTGGTGACCCGCTCGTGGATGCTTCTCGTTATCTGACGGTTTCGGCTCACCATCTCGTCGCGGACGTCTTCCGTCAGGCAGAGGACGTAGTGCGTCGAGCGAAGCTCGCTGGACGCGTAACCAATCAGATGCATTTCCGGTTTGTAGGCTTCGATCTGGGCCTTGTAGGGCTCCAGGGCGGAGTTTGCTTCGCCGGAGATTCTCGACAGAATTTCCCGGGGCACGTACGCCCATGGGTATTCCAGGAATACGTCCGCGTTGCTGGTGCAGTTTAATTCTAGTTGATTCGCGTGGGGCAACTCGATCGCGACGAGGTTCGCGATATTTTTGGACGGGGGCGACCAACTGGACGGCCAGTCCGGACTGTTCGTCGGCATTTTTTTGATCGAGAGTGAAGCTCAGTTTGAATAGATGGGTGAGAGCGAAGGCGAATAGGGGGTGGGCTCTTTGTTTAGGGCGGATATCGATTAAACGTATCCCTTGGAGTCGAGGATCAGTTTTATTGTCTAGATGATTATCTAGATTTTTTTAATTTATTTTATTTATTTGATTCATTTTATTCATTTTTTGTTGTCTAGATGATTATCTAGATTGAATAAAAATTCATCTGAATGTTCCCTATTTTTATTTCTAACATTAAAATTCAAAATTTTATACAAAACGAATAGATAATTAATTCTTCAATTTTTTTTTCAATTTTTGATAAATATTTCAAAGTCTAAGGGAGATATTGAAAAAAATTGTGAAGACTTTTCCGTGTAGTTCCCAGAGAAATAGTTGATTAAATGAAATAAATTTCATTTTTTATTCGCATTTGTATTCAAATCGATTGAATGATTCCTTAAGCAGGAAGAAATGTTTCTTTAATAATAACAAAAAAAAACATTAGCTAAAAATAAAGTCAATTCATTCATTTTGTTGAATAGATCATTTATTTAACTTTAGTAGAACTTTTATTTCAAATAAATGAATTATTCGATTAATGTAGAACATTTTAATCAAAATAAATGAGTTAATTAATTTCTAACAAATTTATTATTGAAATTACTACAAAAATTCCGAAAATGGAGTTTCATTTGATGTAAATGATTCGCTGTAGATGAAATTCTGATGTTTTCTACAAAAAAAATTATCATGATTTGTTCGCAATCTTATTTAGATTTACAGATATTTCAAAACAATTTATTGAATTTTCCTTTTTTATCGCTTACTCAACTTTTCCATCGGTCTGACAATATTATAACCGGGCGCGATGTGGAAAGCATAATCAGTGAACCCGACAATATTTTTCACTTTCACTTGTGATAGAATGACTCTAGCGTTGTATAAACTGTCTTACGACTGCAAAATAGAGTAATAAGGGATTTTAATTTCGCGTGCGATTGAGACTGCTTGAAATAACGATTTCTGGTGTAAGGAGACAATAGGGTGTTGATGAATATCGTTCAGCGGTGGTTTTCTAACGGCAAATTTCCATTCGTGGAATCCACGCACGAAAAAATTTCAGAGAAAAACCTAGCGAATTCGTTAGAAAATTCTATTGAACTTTCTATTATTTTTTGACCGATTCCATTGGACAATTCTGCAGCTCATCTACGCGTTTCTCCGATACAATTTATTCTATTGAGACATTTCCTATAGAAATGCTTCCCCTCCAATTGTCTAATTTTTTTCGTTAGAATTTTCTAATAAAAAAGGGAATTGTCTTTCTATACTATTTTTTCTATTAAGAAATTTTCTGTAGAATTTCCTCGACTCAATTTTTTTAGTTCTTCATTCTCTTGTTCTTTTATTCTCAACAAGAAAATCAAACAAAAAAACTTGGAAAATTTGAGAACACTTGAAAACTTTTTTTAAAAATAAGTTATATAGAAAAATCGAATTCTATCAAACATTTCAATAGAATCGGCCAAAAACCAATAAAGAGTTCAATAGAAATTTAATAAAATGTTCTAACAAATCCGCTAGGTTTTTCCCCTAAATTTTTTCATCCGTGTCGCAGCTAAAAATAGAGAGACGCACGAGTTCGCGTCCACTCAATGCCTCTTCACAATAAAGACGTGTCTCGTTGCAAAAAGTCATTACGAGAACGCAATACTAGCCGTTGGGTTGGGTTATTGATGATTAAACTCTAGGTGAGTTGTCCTGGAGGTCATAGTACGAGGAGAAAAATGCGGACACTCTAATGCATTTTTGTTGCGTAAAAGAAAAAGAAACTAAAAAGAGAAACGAAGTTGAAAAATCGGTTGTCTTCAAATGAGGATAACTGGGGATCGGCGGAGTGAATTTTGAAGATTTTTGTTTTGAATTTCAAGATATTTTTGTCAGCTTGAAAACGAGACGTGACTCGTCCAAATCGGACCGCTGCATTCGGAGATATCGGTGATTTGAGGTTTCACGGTTTGGCGAGAATTTTTTACGGGAATTGGAGATCGGTGCTGTCACGAGTAAAAATAGACTTATAATCATACTTCCGGCGATATGAATCAATGGCTTATCATACCGAAATTGTGTACGACTCGGATATGGCGGAGTGAGATCATCAAGACTGACGCCCGATCCAAGAGAGAATGTGAAACGATCGCTCGAAGTTCAGTTGAATTTTATCTGCTGAAAATTCTATTGGATGTCTATAGAATTTTGACTATAGATTCTATAGAATTATATTCTCTTTTGTCTGTAGAATTTGTCTCGTAGAAAATTCTATCGGGCGTCTATAGAATTTCCTTTCTCATGGAACATTCTATTGGATGTCTATAGAATTTTCTATGAGAAAGGAAATTCGAAAAGTGATCTGCGCGTGTTGTTCAATAGAAATGTTCAATGGATAATATTCTATAGAAAAAGTCGATAATTTGGATTTTTCTATGCAATTTATTCTATTGAGATATTTTCTCTAGGAATTTCTCGGCTCAAAATTTATGAGTTTTTTTGTTTGTTTTTTTTTTTCATGGAGTAAATTCATGTCTGGAAATTTCTATAGAAAATGCCTCAATAGAAAAATTTATATAGAAAAATGAAAATCTACTGATTTTTGTCTATAAAATAATTTCTATTGCACATTTTCTACTGAAAAAACGCGCAGTAAAGCTGCCGAATTCTTCAAAACAATTGGCCAAAAACTAATAGAATTCTCAATAGAAATCCAATAGAATTTTCTGTTGAATTCACTAGATAATTCTATAGGATTTTTGTTGAACTTTCTATTAATTTTCAGCCGATTTTACTGAAAAATTCCGCAAATGATCTGCGCGTTTTTTAAACAAAAATGTACAATGGAAAATATTCTATAGAAAAACCAATAGAATTCGATTGTTCTCTACAACTAATTCTATTGAGACATTACCATTAATATCATTTAACAGCTAATAGACTTCGGATTGAGATCTCTACTGCTTAATTTAAAAAAACGAATAGAATTTTCAATAGAAATTCAATAGAAATTTCTATCGAATTCCTCAAGTTTTCCCCTGAAATTTCTTCGTGCGCGGACAGACGAAAGTGTCACTATCGAGGTTTTTAACAGTTCATGTGTTTAAATTAGTCACGATGTACTAGGAGCACCGATAGCCGGTAGCTATACAGTTGAGCACGGTTCAATGAACGTACACATGCCTCACCAATGACCCAAATGCAGTCACGGCTCGGTAACTGTCCGGGTAGCATCCACTATAACCGAGTATAGGCGCGATCGAGTGAGGAAACCCAGAAAGTAGACAGCCAAACGGGTTGACCGTTCATGGGTTGAGTTCGCTGGCGCATACAACTGCTCAAAATGTATACAGGGTGCGGTTCTTGAGGCTTCCTTCCTCCTCGGGAGCCAAAGGTGACGCCAATAACAGGAGAATGAAATTTGACACCGGGATTTTTATATGACTTCTGTATGTACGAAAACTTTCAGGAAATTTCCTTAGAAATTCTAGTGGACTTCCATCGAAATTTCTAATAGAATTGAAGCAATAGAATGTGTATTTTTGTTTTTTTTAACCCGGACTAGAGCTGTGGAATTCGTCAGCGAAATTTGCAATAGGAATTCAGGAGAATTTTTTATTCAATATTTAATTTTATCCAATTTTTTTAATTGATGAATTCCCCCCAAGGAAGGAATATAGAATTTGAACTTTAATTCAATTTTTCAATTTAAGTAATGGAATGGGTATTTTTATGAGAAAAAAAAACGCGGAATAGAGCTGCGGACTTCTTTAACAGAATTTCCAATGCGAACTTCGGAGAATTTTTTATTCAATATTTAATTTTATCCAATTTTTTTAATTGATGAATTCCCCCCAAGGAAGGAATATAGAATGTGAACTTTAATTCAATTTTTCAATTTAAGTAATGGAATGGGTATTTTTATGAGAAAAAAAAACGCGGAATAGAGCTGCGGAATTCTTCAATAGAATTTCCAATGCGAATTCCAGAGAATTTTTTATTCAATTTTTTTATTGATGAATTCCTCCCAAGGAAGGGATATAGAATCTACTGGATCATACGTTGGAATTTTTTTTAATTCAAGTAACAACTGCATGTGAATTTTCAATGTTATAAACTTTAATTCAGTTTAAGATTAAATAAGTTATGAAATTTCTTGTTCCTCTTGAAAATTCAACAAAATAAATTTATTAATTTTAGACAGTCCAATGACGGTTTGAATTTTCAAAACGTTTTTCATTTAAAAAATTATTATCAAAATAAAAATTGTGAGTTTATAAAATGAAAAGATTCGAAAATTGCATTGAATTCGCTTAGAAATTCTATCGGACTTCTATCAAAATTTCTAACAGAATTAACGTAATAAAATATGTATTCTTATTTCATGTAACGCGGAGTAGAGCTGCGGAATTCTTCATTTCACAGAATTAACTTAGAATTTCTATTAGTTCGTTAACAAATGTGAAAGGACAGGCATGAATTTCCTTCCTTCTTCCTCTAGAATTGAATAATCACCCCCCAAGGATTCCAAGTCTTCATCGATGAATTGTGAGGCAGGTAGCATAATCACATAACTCTCAACGAAGGAATATAGAATTAGCTGGATCATACGTTGGAATTTTTTAAATCAAATAACAACTGCATAAGACTTTTCAATGTTGTGAACTTCAATTCAATTTAACATCAAACCACTCAAGTAATTTCTTGTTCATCTTGAAAATTCAGCGAAATAAATATTCAACATTTAAACGATCCAACAACAATTTTCAATTTTCCAAGCATTTTTAATTTAAAAAATTATTGTAAAAATGGAACTTATAACTTCTATCAATTTTCAAAAATTAAAGAATTAGTCAACAAAAGCGTAAAAGTGAACTTCATGTGATTCACTTATCACAGAAGATTTCTAAAATTACTTTCCAACAGTTCAGTTGACTCTAAATTA